AAAAGGAAAACCGTATAAATGTATGTTCTACCTGTGTTGTTTCGGGATTCATCGTAAAAATAGCTTCTTGTAAATTTCCTAAGAATGCATCCATAATCAACGCACCAGATACCATCAGGACCCCAATTCCGCTGAAATTCGGAGAAGTTTGAGCATCGGCCAAGGTGAAAAGAATAAGGCCGATCACCAAAAGGATAGCCGAAATGTATTCATGAGGAGGGTATTTACGTCTTAAGCCTGGAATAAAAGCCCCCATGATCATCACAGGCAGAACCTGATATTCAGCCATAAAAGCAACTAAAAATTTCAATCGTATAGACCAAAAATAATTTTTTTTAATGCATTATTACTTAATTTATGATGTTACTCATTAATCTAAGCCTAAAGGATAAATTTGTAGTTACATATAAACTAATAATAACGATAATACGAATTTGATGAGCAGGAAATAACATATGCAACAACATAAAAATTGAATTCAGCGCCATCAAACTCAAGAAAATGAAACACATTTTTCGACCTTGGTGGATTTGAACATGAGCTGGGCTGGATAATTGAGAAAAGCCAGAGATCCCTTCGTGAGCCCGTTAGAGCCCATGAGCACGGCTGAGAGCTTCACATAAGTCTTCCATGGATTCACCATTTGCTTGGTGGTAAATCCTTGAAGGTAAATGAGGAGAATATAAACCCACCCTTGCACAAAGGTGAAGTACCACCCGTAACTGCAATTGCAAAATTTTAAGCAATGATGAATTTTTTAAGTATATAAATTCAACCATCACAAAAGTTCGACACAAGCTGTGAACAGAATTTCACCTGAACTGGAGCCTGTTGTATACATATTCCTGAAAATGAGAAAAAACTTCTCAGTATGAAGCTTAAGAAAACGAAAAATTTTCGGAACAACAAAGGTGGTAGCATGGTACTTTTAAATCCAAGAATTGCTTATTACGACCTCGTGAAGATAATTGTTGATTATAGAAGATAGTACACTATAAACAGTGAGGAGCTATTCATTTGGCTTGAATAAGCACTTAAACCAGAAACACAATATAAAAAATCAGCATTCATAAATCATATTTTTTTCACAAAATAAAAAATGGGCTCAACGAAATATTTGACCCAGCTCTTTAATCATGCCAACAGAATCTCCTTCACCAAACAAACAATAAAAAAATAGAGTCATAATACACAGCAGCCAACCAATTACTCGACGAAAAACCAAACGAACCCAAAATAAAACTGCAAAAATTCAACATTTTTTCTTCTTTCCCCCTCTCCTGGCACGCACCAAAACCCCTCAAAAACACCAAAAAAATAAAATGGGTCAATATTACCTCACATACGCCATTAACGAGATAGCCAAAGAAAAACCCAGAGGAGCAAATCAAGAATTGCTGCCATCTGGGCCTCTCGGACAGCGAAATTCCAAACAGAGAACGCCGCTGCTCGTCACTCTTCATCTTCTTTTCCCCTTTCTTCCAGTTNAATTCCCCCCCTCAATTTCTCTCAAAAACACCCATTTTAAGACGCCCACAAAAAGAAAAAAAGAACACCTTTTTATTCAACTACTAACAAAATAGGCCCTAGCATGTGCCGTGCTCGGGATCAAAGCATTCCATGAGGGGTAAATTTCAACGTACTGATTTGTTGACTTTTGAAGGGGCTAAGGATTAAGAAGAGGCAAGCAAAAAAAGATGAGTGGGTGAATAAATGAAATTTTTCTCAAGGGAAAACGCATCGGCTCCTCTGCGTTAGAGATAAATGAATAAATGCTCGCGTATATACACACATATAGATACAGACATATTATATTCCGTTTCTGTATCTACATGTTAAGGAGCCCTGGAGAGAGAAATGGAACGTTTTTATAGAGAGAGAAGGTTTTCGAGCATTTATGCAGCCTTTTGGGCTGGGGAGATGGCCAAGGCGTGATTCGGGTTTTCAGCAAGTTGAGGGGCTTGATGGATAAGAGGAAACCTATTAGGGGTCTTAGGATAATTTTAGCAAATAATATGAGAATCTGTGCTGGTGTGCCCCACCTAACCTTTGCCACGGTATTAGATGACAGTGACGCTTCTCACGCGACTTGCATGTGTGTGTGTGGTGACCTCAAAATTGGTTTGACTTGATTTTATTCGTTTAAATAAATAAAAGTTCGGTTAAGCTCACTTAATAAATTTAAGAGAAATATTATATTGTCAACTTAGTGTATAACTAGATTGACAATGCAAATGAAAATATCTATTTATGTATTTTTTTAATAGATATTTCAACTTGTGTTATCAATTCAGTCGTACACTAGATTGACATAGTAGCATTTTTCTAAATTTAAACTTTAAATACATTGTTTGCGAATAAGTTAGGCTCAAGTATTTCATTTATAACCATTAAAAAATTAACATGAGTTGTTAGTAAATAAACTCAACTCGACTTGTTTAATAAACGAATTCAAATTAATTATGCGAGTTTGTCATGTTTAAGCAAACAAACTTAACGAATCCAGTTATCGATTAAGAAGAGCTCTCAATTGGAAAGTGCAAATATGCTTTTTAATTTCCTTGTATGGATGGAAGTGATTTTGGTTAGTATAAAAGAATTTTCCAAAATTAATTAATTACCAATATATCATATTCTTAATATAGAAAATGAAACCTAAAATTAAACTCAACAAAAAAAAAATCTCAAAATTAAAATGGAAATATATCTTCAATCTTGTTCGAAAAAAGAAAAAAAAATGGAGCATTGAAAGTCCATCGACTCTCAACTTCAGTAGTAAATCTGAAACCTTTAAAGCTGGAAATGTGTGAGGTTCAAGAGAATTGTGTTCTTTTAAGTTTGACACTTGAAATTCTTTTTTCACAAACACGTGACAATCAATAAAATATCCGATTTCCAATGTGCACCATAACTCGTGCCTTTTCTACCCTGATTCTATATTTGTGAAAAATAGATTACTGATTACAAGGGATGGCAATTGAATTCTCCTTTGAAGTCTTTTGTTTTGAGGGAGTTTGTAGGCTAGTGTATATGTATTGTAATTATTAAAAATAATTTAGCCAACCCATCCATTTTATCACAAACTTATCCCCACAAGAAT